TTTTTAAATTTGGACACTGTACACCGGCCGGAATTTTGATGTATCGGCCGGTACATCAAAATTTCGGCCGACACACCGGATTTTGACCAAAACATCTGGATTTTGACCGAAACAAAATTGAATTCTGTATCATTTCGGTTAATGTAAAAAACCGGTACATACTAGCCATACTGGCCGGTACGAAATGGAATTGATAACACTGGTGGGAGGAAGTGAGATGGTTGGGGTTGAGGGGGAGGGGGTTTTTATAACTGTGTTAGAAGTGGGAAGTAGGAATGAAAGGTGTTATGATATTGAGGCAGATATCATGTCTGAGGTTAGGAAGTATGAGTTTGAACTCGGGACCAGGGATAGCCTGGGTTATTTGGTGGAAACTTATGAAATTTCTTCCTAAGTTCTAATTAGGCCTGCTAGGGTGGAGGAGAGGGCATGCTCTGCACCCCGAGATCATTGGATGCCTATGTATGCCCATTATTTCGTAGCGGGGCTTAGGTGTCCAATTCCTGAACTATTGGTGGGGTTGTTGTTAGATTATAGCATAGGGTTGACACAACTAGCCTCCAATGCTATGAGGGTAATAATAGGGTTTTTAGTTTATTGCTGAGCTTAGGGGGTTAGTGTGCTAACTGTAAATATGTTCAAATATTTTTTTGTTCTTAAGAGGGGAAGTAGGAAGGATAAGAGGTGGTATTATTTTACCCCTAGAGTGTCAAATAAGGACAATAAGAATTTATTTACAACAGGTCCTTTCATCCATTAAAGGATGGAAGGAAAAATTTTTCTTCGTTGATGACACTGAGTGGGAGAGGGGGGATGCCGAGGTAGAATTTTTGTCGAGCTAGAAGGCTAAGAAAGCCAACCAGAATAAGTTTAGTTTAAATAGTGATGAGGAAGAAGAGGTGGGGAAGTTGGTAAGGGAGGGAGGTAACATTGTAAATATCATGTACCTCACCAGCTTGGATGTCATAGAGGCTGCTGAGCTCTATGGGCCAAGTGCTTTGAGTGAAGGTGTGTTTATTTTTGTATTGTGGTGTTTGGTGTTAAGTGACGAGTTATGTTGTTGACACATTTTTTTGTTGTTTTGTAGCTGAGATGGATAAACTTTTGAGTGCTGCTGGGGGGGTGGCCATTCCCAAGAAGCTTAGGAAGAAGTCAAGGACTTCAACTAATGAGGCGAGTGAGGGAGGAGCTGGGAGGGAGTTGGTGCCTAGCACCTCAGCTGGAGTTCAGGAAGTGCGACCGAGGCAAGATCTAAAAAGGAAAGGGGGTGAGGAGCCAGGGGCACTTCAGAAGAAGAAGAAGGTGGTGGAACAGGAGGTTAGGGGGGACGAGGTAATGGAGTTCATACCTTGGCCTCCTCCTATTGAGCTCGACCTTGAGCTCAGCGAGATTGAGGTCAAGGGGGCTGAGGTTAGGGCCCCTAGTAAAGGGAAAGGACTCGTTCCCCCTCTTTCCTTTCAGAGCAGTTTCTTTGACGCCAAGAACGCAACAGGGGTAAAAAGGTTTATTAATGCAACCTTCCCCGAAGTGGACGAGCGTCAGGCGAAGAAAAAGGTGCTGAGATATGTTGGAGCGACAGTGGTTAAGCACGCTCTGGAGGTATGTTAAGTTGGTTTATGTGTGCTTGTTGTTTGTTTGTTGTCGTTTTTTTTTTTTTTTTGACTTTTGCTGGAATTGTAGAGTGCAAGCTGGGTGAATGCTCTAACCCAGGAGTTTGTAGAGAGTGTGAAGGAGTGCACTCTCTTGTGGAGGCAATGTCAGCTGATGCACTAAAATCACTCTAGCAAGTGTACTAGTCGCTCCAAGTGTACTAGTCGCTCCAAGTAATATAATGATGAGAGAGTGTCGAACCTACGAGAATTGTGTCTAACTAAGTACCAAAATAATTAATCTAAATTTATTTGAACAATCAAAAAGGGAGAAACTTTAATTGAAAATAATAAAAAGAAAATAACAAATAAATCTAATCAAGATAAGAGGTACTAAGGCATTGATTTCACCATAATCAATCAATATAAATTCTAGATTACCAAATTGTTGAGTGTTATTGCATGTGATGGCGGATTTTCCTAAATTAATTAACTAGCTTTCTCAAGTCAAGTTAATCCTTCACTTGTTTGTTAAATTAATCATATCTCTATATAATTTTAAACAAACTTATGAGCATTAAATTCTATGGAAACCTCTAGCTTAAGAAGGGGGAGCTCCTAACTCTCTTCTCTTCCTCCACTACCACATGTGAGCTAATTACCTCTCGGCCTCATAGTCTAGCACACGGTTTATATTATTATTGGTCTAATCTACGCAATTCTTTCTCAAGTTCATTCATAAATCACTAAATCAATTGAAAGGTGATCAGACTTCCAATGCATTAAGTTCAATAATATAAACTCCTCATACAAATAACTTTAATTGAAAGCATAAAATCACTAAATCCATATTGAATTGATTAGGCTACATCGTAGCCCTAGTAGAATAAATCAGTTTATAATAAAAAGAATAAAATCTGAAATTAAAGTTATGAACATTCAAATATCAAACAATAGATAAAAATCCAAGGAAAAACAAAACCCAATTTGAGGAAATCGAACTCCTTGATCTTCTATTGTTGATGGAACCTCAATCTTGATCTCCAATAATGCCCAAAAGAGGGCTGCCACCAGCCTCTCAAAACTCCCTTAATTCTGAATTTAGATGGGTATTTATAGGATTTTAGAAACCCTAGTTGGAATAGAAGTAGGACTTGGAACAGAAATAGGAAACTGAATTTTGGATGCAAATCGCGTGGTGCTGACACTTCGGATTACGTGTTGACACAAAATAGGAAACAGAATGTGATTCTGGACGTTTAACTCATGGTGTCGACACCCCGATTACGTGTCGACACTACACCCGCGCCGGGTTTTTGGCCTCCTTTTGCAATTTCTTCAATGGTAAAATGGCAGATTTGGTTCCTGACTTCTAGATTCTGCACAAGTTGATCCTCAAGTCTCTGATTTCTTCAATTTATTTCTAAAAAGTAAGATTTTTTCCAATTAAATCCTTTCCTACACAAAGAATGAAAACCATGTAAAATCAAACAAAATCCCATAAAACTCATCCAAATATCAATAATATCAAAGTAAAAATTTCCTATTAATATGTATATAAATTTAGCTCATCATCAGCAACTGCAAGAGGAGAAGGATGAGCTGGAGAAGAAGAATAAGGAGATGCAGGAGATGCTAGATGAGGTGGTACCAGCAGTGAAACAGCTTGAAGATGAGAAAGATTCCTTGAGTACTAAGCTCATTTTTGAAGAGAGAAAAAGAAAGATCTTTGAAAGCGAGCGCGAGGCTCAGGAGAAGGAGATAAAAAAGGTGAAAGAAACTGTGATTGAGCTGAAGAAGAATGTGGAGCTGCTGGTACATAATGCAATGGAGGAGCACATTGCAAATTTCCTGAGGTCTGGGACTTTTAATAATATAGTCAACCTATACCGGCTGCCCACTGCAATCTTGGCCTTCACAGATTGCATAAAGAAGGTGTAGTCGCAATATCCCGAAGTGGATGTCACGGGCATTACCTTTGGCGAACAAGAAGAAAGGGTGGAGGAGAATGGCGAGAGCATGTCAGCTGATTTCCGTTCGGAAGTTAAGCTGAGATGGGATCATGACACACAAGGTCGTACCATTTTTCCTCCACACTTCGACTTCGAGTTCGTGGGAGTGGAAGAAGAGGTTGCAGAGGTAGAGGATATAGAAGAGGAAGGGAATCAGCCACATCATCTAGTGGAAGTGCATACGATTCCTTCAGAAGAGGACCAGCCAGCTCAACCAGAAGTGGGACTGCCACCTCTTCCTGCTGAGGAAGAGCCACCTCAGCCACCTCTTCCTGTTGAGGAACAACCACCTCCAAAGTAGTTAGGGTGTTCATTTTTTTGTTATGTTAATATTGGAACAATTTATAATTTGAACAGTTTGTAATGTTTATTATTCAATTTTAATGAAAATTTTTTGAAATTATATGTAATACTTGTTTTGTGTTTTATTTGTTTTATATTAACATAAGAACTGAGATGAAGTAAATCACTTCGAATGTGAAATGAAATTCATTAATAAAAGTGAAGTCCAAGGAATAAATTCCAAACAGATTGACCTCAGAGATACAGACTAAGTGTTGACGACCACTTAAAGATTTTCAAAATAATGAAAAATTTTATTATTTATCATTAAGAGTGGAAAATATAAAGAAAAGGAGTCGCCACTCGTCTAAATTATAAGGTGGGACAAGTCACCTAAGACGGATCTGCGTAGAGATCGGAGTTCGAGGGTTCGCTTAGGAGTGAGGAAGGGCATACGCGCACCTCACAATCCTCCGTTTAAACACGGTTGCATACTTTAACATTGGGGGTTTTAATTCAACTTATTTAGTAACTTTATGTTTAAGTTTTAATAGGGGAAACTTAAAAAAAAAAAAGATAAACCAAATTGAAACATGTTTTAATTTTTGGACTAAAATGGACAAAATAAAAGACATGTATGCACAAAAGCACAAATAAAAATTAAATGGACTGATTTAATTAAAATAAAAATAGATGACTAATTTGAAAAGGTTTGAAACTTTTGGACTAAAGTGATTAAACATGAAAGTTTTTTTTTTGGACTAAAGTGGACAAAATCAAAGACATGCATGCATCATAAGCACAAATAAGAATTAAAAGGATTAATTTGATTAAACTCAAAAACATTCAGGATGATTTAAAAAGATTTGAAACCTTGGGACTGAATTGTTTAATCATAAAATTTTTCAGGTGAAACTGAAATAAAAGGAGTTAACTTTTGATTTTTTTTCTAAGATTAAGGCAAATAGAAGATTAAAAATTAATTAATTAAGATAATTAATTTAATTAAATGATTAATTTAAAATTAATTAAAATTAATTAATCATATTTATTAATCTTTAACTAAGATAATTAAATGGATCTAATTATCTCAAATTAAAATTAATAAACAAAATTAATCTACTTTAATTAAAATTAATTAATTTCACAATTACACATTAAACTAATTACGATAATCCATTAATCATTTTATTTATCAAATCTTTTTTAGTTTTAGTTTTTTTTTTTTTTTTTTCAAGTTTGGATCGGGTCAACCTGCCCAGAAACACAAAACCATTCACCAAAATATGCAAAAGCAGATCAAACAAGACAGAAATAGAATCATGGACAGCAACAAAAATGAACTCATTTCTGACAAAAAGATAAACAATATTCATCAAGAAAATAAACTGGACATCTTTTTTTTTCATTGATTTTTAATAAACACATACATACTTAAACATCATAAAAGCAAATCACAGAATAGGAAGTCAAAAGAAACAAGCATGGTGAAGCTTTCTGGGTAACAGATCGGAGTCCGATCTAGGGAATCCCTCCCATGGGATCAAGCCCAGATCATTCCCCTCACTGCCTCCCCAAAAAGACTCCTCTGTTGAAAGAAAATACCTAAACAGAAATGGACACCACAAAATAAGCCTCCTTTTAGCCACTGTCAACCTCCAAAGAAAATGTTTTCTTCCCTTCAACCAGCCTTTCTCCCTCTCGGACTCTTCTTTTCTTCCATCTCTCTTCTTTCTTCTTTCTTCCGAACCCAGAGAAGAACCAGAACCCAGAAGAGGAAAAAAAAAACAAAAAAACAAACTCAAAAATCAACCTGTAATGGTAACTCCAAAGCTTCCCGCTCGAACAGCTACACAGCTGTTATGATGGACGCCCTTGCATCCAAGTATATCTCAATCTCCCAGTCCCAAAATAACTGTTTGGAGATACGCATCAAATCCCGAATATTTTGGTTGGCTCAATCGTCCGGTCCCGAAATAACTGCCTGGAGATACACATCGGATCCCGGATATCTTGCTGGGCATCGTGTTTGACATACCGCGTGGATTCTTCATCAGAACGTATAAATACCCCTTAAGGGCCACGCCAAAAAGGTAATTGAAACCAACCCTAAGCTCCTTGTTTCCCCGTTTCAAAGGTAACCCCGATTATTGCTGACTTAAGCATCGGAGTGTCTACCCCGAGGATCCACCTCGGGGCTTTGCAGGTTAATCCAGAGTGCAGATACAGACTGAAGAAGGACTTCCGGTTTGGTGCAGTTACACAACCCCCCTTTCTCCGGAATCAACCAAAGAACCCCCCAAAATCAACTCCAAACTCCAACCAAAGTAAACTCCAAAACTCCACAATCAACCAAAGAACCCCCAAAATCAAACTCCAAACTCCACCCCCTTCCTTTACTCTGCTTTTGCCCTATATATATAGCCAAGCAACAAAATGAAATAAAAATGAAAAAAAAGCAGTCACCAATGATGCCAATTTTGTCTGCTATCGGCTGTTTTCTTCTGTATGGCTGTAGTGTGCAGGAGGCAGGGGCGTAGCAGGGGCACAGGCATAGCAGAGTGCAGGCGATATGGTGCAGGGCAAGGGGGTCTGGTGCAGAGCGCAGGAGCTGGTGCAGAGCAAAGCTAGTGTAGGAAGCAAGGCCGGGCGCAGGAGAGTGCAGGCTGGGGCAGAGTGCAGGCTCAGTGCAGGCAAGCAGTAGGGGATCTGCAGCAGGGGGCGCAGAGCAGGATCGGTGCAGCAAGCGGTTGGCGCAGAGCAAGGGGATCACAGGATTGGGCGCAGAGAAGGGAGCAGGGGCGCAGGCGCAGCATGTAGCAGTAGGGGATCTGCAGAGGAGGGTCGGTGCAGGCGAGGGGGGGCAGCAAGCAAGCAAGCTCAGGCGGGTGCAAGGCTGGTTCGGGTGTGTGGAGGAGCAAGGCAAGGTTCGGGTGTGTAAAAGGGCGTGGAGCAGGGCTTAGTGAGGAAGAAGGTTCTGGAGAGAAGGAAAGCAAAGACCTTGCCATTTTTTTTTATTTCCCTTTTATTTTTTATTTTTATTTTTATTTTTATTTTTTTGGAGATTGAGTTTTTGGGTAGTTGGGTTTTGGGTAATTGGGTTTAAGTGTTTGGGTTTTAGGTAGTTGGGTTTGAGTATTTGGGTTTTGGGTAATTGGGTTTGTAATTGGGTTTTGATGATTTAATGGGCTCAATTGAAATGGGTTGGTGTTGAGTTTGCAACTTTGATGAATTTCACCCTTAAACTTTTGATTCCTTCGATTGAATCCTTTCTCGAGTTTCTTTTTCCATTTTCTTCTTGAGTTTCTTTTTGTACATAGCACTTGAAATAAAATAGAGATATATTAGTCAAAGAAAAGAGAAATTTTCATAGTTTTTAATGATTTTTTTGATTTTTTTTTTTAATAAAAAGTCTAAATAAACTAAGTGAAAAATCGGGTTGTGACACTAAGAGATGAAATGGATCTTAAAATGAAGAAGTAATAATTATAAAGAAGAATAAGACAAAGATCACTTGAAAGAAGTGTATTAAAAGTAAAATTTCTTCAAGTTATTGACATTTCAGACTCTAGGAACTCTCTTCCCTTTAGCGTCTTGGAGGATATAGGCGCCAGGATGTGACACTTCGGCCACTGTGTAAGGGCCTTCTCAGTTTGGGGCTAATTTACCAAAATGAGTTTTAAACCCTGTTAGGCCAGCTTTTCTGAGAACAAGGTCTCCTACTTTGAAGGTTCGAGGGTGGACTCGTTTGTTGTAGAAGTTGGCTAGTTTCTACTTGTATACCAAAGTTCGAAGTCGTGCTTCCTCTCTGACTTCGTCAAGCAGATCAAGATTCTTCCGAAGCAACTGTCCCCTTCATCGAAATGGGTGACTCTGAAGCTTAAGACTCCTATTTCAATAGGAATGACTGCTTCGGTACCAAAGGCCAGGTGGTAGGGTGTTTCACCTATTTCATTAAGTTATAGTTTTTAGAATATACTTTATATGTTGTGCATATTTGATCTAGGGTAAAGCCGCAGAAGAGAAAATAAAATAGAATGGAATTTACTTGGGTTAGAAGTAGTACCTGTGGCAGTTCGGCTCATAGTTCTATATGCCCAGAGGACGTTGTTGAGCTCATCTGCCCATCTGGCCTTGTGCTACTCCAACCTCGGCTTTATTCCCTCGAGGATAGCTTTATTGACATATTCGACCATACCATTGGACTCCGGATGGTATACTGAGGTAAACTGTAGTTTGATCCCGTAACTAGAGCAGAAATCTCTGAATGAAGAGCAGTTAAACTGAGTACCATTATCAGCCACAATTTGATTTGGGATTCCATATATGCAGATGATTGAGCTGAAAACAAAGTCTTCAACCTTTCTGCAAGTGAGACTGGATAATGGTCGAACTTTAACCCATTTCGTAAAATAGTCAACACCAACGATCAGATGGGTTACACCTCCAACCCCTTTCATGAATGGGCCTAAAAAATCAAGTCCCCACTGAGCAAATGGCCATGGTGCCACCAAGTTGGTGAGCTCTTTTGCCAGTTAGTGAGTTAAGTGTGTGAAGAATTGGCACTTCGAGTACCTCTGTACACAATGAGTAGCATCTTTATACATATTTGACTAGTAATATCCTTATCTGAGGACTTTATGAGCCAGGGTTCTAGTACTAATGTGGCTTCCACATATGCCTTCATGTACTTCTTGAAGTGCGTATTCAGCTTCATTAGGATTCAAGCATCATAGGAGAGGGAGTGAGAAAGATCTCTTATAGAGGATCCCATCAACGAGTGTATACCAAGACGCTTTCTTCCTCAACCTCATCTCTTCTTGCTTATCTGCAGGCACTGACCCATCTCGTAAAAAAGAGACAATTGGATCTGTCCAGCTCGGTATATTTGGGTCTGTGCTGATCTCCATCATTTTTGGCTTCATGAAGCTCAGCTCATCTAAAACTTCAACGAAAACTGTTTTGGAGCTTAAGGAGCTATTAGAGGCGAACTTAGAAAGTGAATCTGCCTGTTCATTCTCAGTTCAAGGAATTTTGCTCAAACAAAATTTTTGGAATTCGCACTTCAGCTCGGCCACCAAGGCTACATACTTCATCATGACAAGATCAACAACCTCGCAGATTGAGTTGACTTGATTAACCACAAGTTGTGAGTCACTGTATACTTGTATGGCCATGACTTTCAACTCCAATGCTAGTTGCAATCCAAGTAGCAGAGCTTCATACTTAGTCATGTTATTAGTTGCATCAAAGTTAAATTTCAAAGCATGCTCACTTCGATATCCATCTAGGCCAACTAAGAAAGCATCAGCTCCTGAGCCCTTGCTACTAGATGCTCCATCAACATATAAGATCTAGTTGCTTAGCTTGGGGTTAGAGTTTGAGTGACATGGGGTGCATTCCACGATAAAATTTGCCAGTGCTTGAGCTCAGATTGCAGACCTCTGTTGAAATGTTATCTTGAATTTCCCCAGTTCTACTGCCCATTTAATTAACCTTCTCGAGAACTTCAGCTTCTAAAGAATCTATCGAAGAGGTTGGTCTGTGAGGACTATGATTGGGTGTGATTGAAAATATGGTCTTAACTTTCTGGTTGAAGTAACAACTGCTAACGTTGCTTTCTCAGCAATAGGGTATCTTAGCTCTGCTCCGTGTAGCACGCTGCTGGTATAATAAACTGGTTTTTGTTGTTTACCTTCTTCTCTCACTAGCACAGAACTAATTGCTTCATCAGAAATGCCGAGGTACAAATAAAGGATTTCTCCATCTATAGCCTTTGTCAGCAAAGGGGGTGAGCTAAGATAAGACTTAAGTCCATCGAATGCAGCTTGACATTCTAGGTTCCATTCAAACTTCTTTTGTTTGCCAAATTCATCATTCTGGACTCCTGACCTCATGATCTTGAAAAATGGCAAGCATTTATTTGCTGACTTCGATATGAATCGCTGAAGAGCTGCCACCCTCTCGGTTAATCTTTGTATATCTTTCACCGACTTCAGTGGTTCCATCTCGACTATTGTTTTGATCTTTTCTGGGTTAACCTCAATTACCCTCCGGGAAACCATGAAGACTAGAAATTTCCCAGACTCCACACCGAAGATGCACTTTGTTGGGTTCAACCGCATTTTGTTCTTTCTGAGGTTGTTGAATGTTTCATCGAGGTCAGTTAAATGATTTTCCGCTTTCAGACTCTTCACCACAATGTCGTCGACATAAACTTTTAGATTCCTGTCGATCTGAACTCAGAATACGATGGTCACTATCTTCTGGTAAGTGGCACCTGCGTTCTTTAAGCCAAAGGGCATCATGACATAGCAATAAATTTCATCACCTACATAGAACGAGGTTTTCTCTTCATCCTCTGGAGCCATCGGCACTTGGTGATAACCAGAATATGCATCCAAGAGACTTAATCTCTCATTTCCAGAAGCCGCTTCAACTAGTTTGTCAATGCTTGGAATCGGATAACAGTCTTTGGGCAAGCCTGGTTGAGATTTGTGTAATCGATGCACATTCGTCACTTACCATTTGCCTTCTTGATCAACATTGGATTGGCCACCCATTCACAATAATCAACTCTCCTAACAAAGTTAGCTTGTAGGAGTTTCTCTACTTCTTCCTTTGTAACCTTAAGCCTCTTTCCCCCAAAGAGGCATCGCTTCTGGGCTACTGGTTTCTTTAATGGATTGGTGCTGAGCTTGTGCTGAGATACCGAGGTTGGAATCCCTGGCATGTTTGCTGAAGTCCAAGTGAAGACATCGTTGTTAGCTTAGAGGAAAGCTATTAGCTCTACTCTTTCTTTCGGGTTCAACCGAGTTCCAATTTGTGTCTTCCTGTTTTGATCTCTGTCATCAAGTTGCACTTCCTCTACATCCTCAACTGGGGTAGCTCTAGTTTCATCTTCAAGTTGGTTGTCTATTATCTCTACCCCCATCACCTGCTGATTATCATGAACTTGTTGGGGAATGGTTTCTGATGTTTGATCTTTGCCTTTCTAAGGCCTTGTAACTGAGGTAATATAGCAATGTCTAACCACCCCCTGGTTACCTCGTAGTTTTGCTATCCTCATAGGGGTTGGGAACTTCATACAGAGGTGAGATTGAGAAACCACAGCTTGGATCTCGGTTAATGTAGGTCGTCCGATAACAGCATTGAAGGATGAGGCCAATTTGACAACTAGAAACCAAACTGAGGGGGTAACATAAGTCCGGTCGCTTCCAAAAGTGACATTAAGAGTAAGGACTTCTTCTACCTGAATAGGTTGGTTATTGAATCCATATATAGGACCATCATACCTCTGTAACAGAGTTGGATCTAGTCCTAAACTCTCAAAACAGTGAAAATACATAATGTCTGGTGCATTCTCTGTGTTAACAAGGACACGTTGTATCTCATAGTTGTTAATCATAACAGAAGTGACCAAAGGATCATTATGGGGTGTTACAACTGTATCAAAGTCAGCAGGTGTGAAAGTGATGGGTTGATTCTTCTAGTCAGTGTCGTCAAACTTTTGTTTCTGATCTCAGTTTTGATGCTTCACCTCCCTGACATACAATTTTCGTTGTTTGGAGCTCAAACCCCCTGCTTCCAATCCTCCGGTAATCATGTGTATAATTCTGGCCGATGGCGGGAGTGGAGGTGGGGCTTGTTGGTATCCCACACCTTGCTTATTTCCTACATTACGAGATCTTTGTGGTTGTGGCCCCTGCTCTCTGACGAACTTCGGTTGTTCTGTTCTTTGGATGTATTCATTTAGCATTCCCTTCTGAGCTAGACTGTCCAATTCGGACCTCAAACTATTACACTCCTCCGTTGTATGATCGTGATCTTGATGAAAATCATAGTATCTAGTATGATCACGTGTAGTAGCAGAACTTCTCATCGGCCTTGGTGCCTCAAATCCATCTTGTTCTTAATCTGCATGAATATCTGCGACCTCGGCAGATTGAAAGAAGTCCATGTAATGCGTGCTTTAGTAGTAATTTGTTGGGGAGGTACTGAGTTCGATTTTCCAAATCTCGGTGTGGAGGTCAACATCGGACCTCAATTCTGTACTGTCTTCATCTGCTTTCTGCTCTGACCCTCATATCTCCAATCTGGGTTTTGATTCTTATGGAGAACTGGCTTTTGTGATAAGGCATATTCCTTAGCAGTTATGAATTTCAAGGATCTGTCATTAACCTCATTAAAAGTAGCAGCAGGATGCTTAATTAAGCTATCTCTGAATCTCTCGTGTTGGAGACTTTTGAATTACAGTTGCAATTCTCACGGCTTGGTTGAATGAGCTGACTTCGAGGACTACATCATTGAACCTACTCATGTAATTCTTCAGAGATTCTCTATCCCTCTGTTTGACTCACATTAGTTCAAAAGTGATTTTCCTAATCAACCTTCCACTGGAAAACTTTGTAGCAAAAACAGATGTCATTTCTGTGTAAGAGTTGATAGATTTCGGAGGCAAACTATAGTACTAGGTTCGAGCATTACCACGAAGAGTGGAAGGAAAGATCTTGCACATCAAAGCGTCAGAGGCGTTCTAAGCTTGCATACAGGAATAAAAAGCATGGAGGTGATCATCTGGATCCTTTGTTCCATCATATGTCTCGAGCTGGGGTATTTTGAAACCAGTAGGATACGGTTCCAATGTAATATTAGTGTTTAAAGGATGAGGTATGGAATCAGTGTTATGGTGGGGAGGTGGGGCACCTCGCTGCTCGGCTACCATTTTTTCTAAACTATCCAGACGTCATGTGACATCATCAGGTAGATGTTGCTGAGCTGGGGCTATGTGAGACTGACCCTGAGACTCACTAAGAGCATGAGCATGTTGAACTGGCTGAGGGTCTTGCTCTTGAACTGAGGGTTGTTGAGTAGGGTTAAGTAGATTGATGAGGGGATCACCAGGATTATTCCGAGTTAAGAGCTGAGCCAAAACCAACTGAAAGATACCGAACTGCTATTGCATGGCAGCAAGCTGAGCTGTGACTAGATCTCCTTGGTTAGGGGTAGGGGCTGAATTATGAGCTGAGTTGTGAGGTTGATTTTCATCTCCTCCTTCTGCATGTTCAACGGGAGGGAATGCATTTGGGATTTGAGGTGGAAGGTTATTGGGGTATTGACCTTGACCTTGTCCAAGAGGTTGAGCTTGATTTCCAACTCGGACAGATCGAGTGTTGACCATGATGAGAAAGCAACAAAAGAGCTTTTAGTTTGATTCCCACAGATGACGCCAATGTAATTGCACCAAACCAGAAGTCCTTCTTTAGTCCGTGTCTTCACTCCAGATGAACCTGCAAAGCCTCAAGGTGGGTCCTCGGGGTAGACACTCCGATGCTTAAATCAACAATAATCGGATCTACCTTTAGAATAATGGAAAAATGAGCTTTAGGTCGGTTTCAATTACCTTTCTGAGGTGGCCCCTGGGGGGTATTTACAGACCTTAGTGAGGTGTCCATGGGCTTACTTAACAAGATAATCGGAGTGTGACGTGTCCCTTTAGGTGATAATTTCAAAACCGAGAAATTATGTGTGATAAATCAGGTGTGGAAATGTTCACTATATTTATCATTCAACCATTTGACCAGAAAGTGCTGAATTTAATTTTGCTTCGGTTAGTAAGGAACTGTGACAGTACATGTACATCCCAAGTTAAGGATCTCGGACCTACTCCTACGCTTTGAAAATTGAAAAAGCAAGAAATTCAGCCTTTTTTTGGTATTAACCTTTCGGTATCCAGAAACCACATTGAGCCCTGACTAATCCGAAATCGAGCCGGGTCGGACCCCATATGGGGGGAAGCTCTCCCAGCACCTGTTTTTCCATTCACAAGACTCAAACTCGAGATCTTACTTAAGGGGAACCGAGCTCCTTACACTCGGATCGACAGGTTGTTGGTAAGAAATTCAGCCTTTTGGTGGAGCTTTTGCTGGTGTTAAATGAAATTTGCTTGTTATTCTTATTTTATCTTCATTTTTTAAAATATTTACAATTAAACCACAATGTATACATCATCATTTATAACACAAATCCCTAAGTTTTCCTTCTCTCGTTCTTCTCCATCCGCCGATCTCCTCTTTGAACAGAATCTTTGCCGTCGCCGACTGCTCTGGTTAGCACAGAAAAGCAAGTTTTTCTGTCTTGTTCCGGTCTCTTTTCTTCTTCATTCTCACCCTATAGTAGATTTCCCTTTTCTCGATCTTGCTGCTCTATTCAAGCTCACACATCCTCATCCTCCTCACCCCAGATCTAGTGGTGTAGCCTCTAATCTTCAACGGTAAGTTCTTGATCCAGTGGTTTATTATAGTTCTCTAGTGCTCTGGTGCCCACGATTTTCATCTCATATGGATTCCCTCTTCACAATTGATCTGGAAACAAAAACCCTACCCGCACAATAGAAGAGAGGAGATTCGGAGAAGCAAAAAAAATGGGAGTGCAATCACACACACAAAAAAAAAAAA